ACCCGCTATTTCAACACTTAACACTTTAAGCCTAAACAATTGAGGTGATTTTCCTGGTATGTTTCTCCCTGCAGAAATGACTTTCTTCAAGTCATGCTGTACATACAAAGATGGCACAATAGGATTCTTAATACACTCCTTTCATTGTTTGAGTATTATTCTTCTGCCACCCTTTTAATTACCCTTTTAAAATCCAATCACCTTAGCCTGGAATTCAAGATTCTCTATGATTGTGACCAAACAATTGCTATTTTAGCTATTTCTCTTATCACTTCCAAATATCTTAAGTTTTAAGTAAACTTGAACACTTGCCATTTCCCAAAACACTTGTGTTTTTCAGTTTCTGGATCTTTGCCCATATGAAGATTCTTTCCTGGAATGACCTCTGTTCATCCTCACTTGCTAAATCCGGACTGTCCTTCTAAATTAAGATTGTCAGAAGAACATTTCCTGATGTGCTAGATTGTTCTATTGTTGTGATAATCAAACTGAGACTATGTTTCCCAGAATTTCCTTCCCTGTATAGTTACAAGTTAGAGTTGGCCAAAGGAATTAGTGAGTTTTGGGAGGTGGAAGTGAAACATTAGCCATTACCCTTTGGAGGTCTTTGCAGTCAGAAAAATAAGAGACAGATGCAGAATTTCCTGCTGGGAGGAGGTCAGCCAGCCATTTGATAGCAGGTTGTTCACTTTGGATTACTTTCATTAGGAAATGGTAGTGCTTTGTTCTCACTAGAACAGACCTTACTCTGTATTAGGATTTGCCATCCCTGACCAAAGCACCATCCATGGACAGACAGAATGACTTATTCATCATCATAGAACTCCACCCAACATTGCTTCTTAGGAACTGATTTTATAATCAATGAAGTATGGCAATGGGATCTTGTTCATGGAATTCACTGGCAATAGTAACATGTTCTCCAATACCTTGAAGCAAATGAATGTATAAAACAGCAGAATAACTTTTTTTAAGTATTGGTTACGGCACCAGCAGGTGACAACATCTTGTAGGACTGAGGAAATGTTCTCCAAAATGTAGTATATACTCTGAATCAGCAACCAGCATGTGGCACTGTTTTTTTCCATAGCTAGAATTCATGGCTCTGAGATAAAGGGGTAGAGAGGGAACTAACTCTTCTTATTGTAACCTCTAATGATCCACTAACTAAAATTTTTGCTTCCTGTCTCTATAACCTTGGCTTCTTCTTGTTTAATGGTCATAAATCCTATGGCAGGGCACAGCAACAGTTCCATTAATCTGGAGCTAAGACTACTACCTGGCCTCATAGTAGTGACCCAGTATTCGAAAAAGGAGGTTGCTTTCCAAAAGGAAAGTGGTTTTCTAGTATACAATGGGGACAAGTAAGAATATGTATAGAGTACAGATGTTCCTCTATGACACTTTTTCATACTTCCATGTTCTGTGATAAAAGATAATGAATACATGTAATATTACTATGCAGGTTGGATTGCTAATGGCACACGAATGAAGGTTGGGGTTACCTCACTTGATAAGGAAACATGACCAGCTGAACATGACTAGAACCATGGTGAGGTAATTGAGATACCTATGTCAAGCATAACATTTAAAGAGTTACCCAAAATTCAGGGATCAAGATAAACTATATTTAATTCAATATTTTTAAGAATAAAAATGAAAAAAATATTACAGGATAAAAAAAATCAACATTTTAATTAAAGACAGGTTCTGACTCTACACCTGCATGAGTTACCTCACTTGCATCACCTTAATCCCAGCCCTGTGGATTCCTGTCTCTTGCCAAGTTGTGCCAGGTTGTTCGATTGCCAATTTGGTTAAGCTGGGAAATTTGTTTCCTAAATCCCCCTCTTTGTGTGGCCTCAGGTTAGAGTTGCAAGGACTTGCTTACGATTTGAGAGGCAGAATGAAGCAGTGGTCATTGCTCCCCAAAAGTTTATTGTCAGATGGATAGATGAAGAGGTGCCCAGTGATTTGCAGCTTGCCTCTCTCCTCCACTCTGTGAGCAGCTCTTCTATCCATCTGCAGCCCCTGTCTCAACTCTAGATGCTTTTCTGCAGGCACACAAAGGCGCAGCTACCCAGAGGCAATTATTTCTTATAGACCTCTCTGTGAGCTCCTCCGTCTCAAAATGGGCACAGTGCTTCAGGAAAGGCGTTTAGTGCCTCTTTTCCTGAAACTCTAAATGTAGCTTCCAGACCTTTGTTTTCCAAACAAAACCCACAATTGTGTGATATCAAATTGTTTTAATAATTTTGGTATTCATTTGCACTGATAATGACTTTTTCTCTGATTGAACCTTGACTGAAACAAGTGATTTTTCTCAGTCAGAAGTGCTACAGGTCCAAAGTCCACCATCTGAAAAACCTGGAATTAGATATGCTTTGGAATTCAGATTATTTTGTCTTTGTACCATGTAATTTGGCAGCCCTATAGTAGAATATAGGACAGCACCTCAAATTCAAATGCAGTCATATTTCTGCAGTGAAATATTATAAGAGTAGGGTAAAGACTATAAATTGCCTTACACCAATTAATTATTTAAAAAGTCTGATTCTCAGAGCTTTTTGAAATTCCAAATTGCAGAAAAGGTTTGTACACATGTGTCTGACACACAGTAAACCCAGTAGACATTTATTATTTTATTATTATACATTATTATTTTATTATTATACATTTATTATTAGGGTCTATCCTCTCACTTCTCCTTACATTTTATAGCACTTGTTATTCTTATCATAGTGATATATTACTATTACTTGTTAATATATCTTCAGCTGAATGTCAGGCATCTTGAATAATGATGAAGAACATTATAATTCAGAGGAAACTTTTGTGATAATTAATTACTTTAAAGTGCCCATGTCTTAGGCAAAGCAGCAAAATGTAGCAGTTTCCTGTGTGGACATAATATTCACCTGTGATTACATTTTTGGTTAGTCATTTAGCGGTTATATAACACTAGGCAAATTCATTAACCTCTCCAAGTCTCAGTTTCTTTATCTGTAAAATTAGGACGGTAATGCCTTCCTCTAAGGTGTTACTATAAATCATTTTGCCTACGTAATACTTAACAAAGCATTTAGTATGGCACCTTCATATAGTGATTACTTAATATGTCATATGATTATTATTATCATGTCATATTATTATCATGTCATATTATGCATATGTCATATTATTATCAGCTATGATTATTATTGCTCTACATCATAGCAATGGATATGAACAAATTGCTCCATCTAATGAATTGCCTACCTTATAGTAGATCCTGAAAACACTCATGCTGCAAGAACAAATTTAAGAATGAATAATGAAATAAATGGAGATGTTATCAGGAAGATATCAGTTTATGTAACTTAGTATTTTGGTTTCTTTCTTTACTTTTATTTTTTATCATATATATTTAAGGTGTACAGCAGGATGTTTTGATATACACATACATAGTGAAATGATTATTATAGTCACACAAATTAACATCATCTTCCATAGTTGCCATTTTTTGTGTGCTAAGAGAGCAAAAATCTATTCTCTTAGCAAATTCTCAGTTAACAGTACAATGTCATTAACTATAGTCCTCATGCTGTACATCAGATCTTTAGATTTATTCATCCTACGTAACTGTAAGTTTTCACCCTTTGATTACTTCTCTCCATTTTCTCCGCCTCCCCATCTGTGGTAACCACCACTCTATTCTTTGTTTCTATGTATTTGACCTTTTTTATAGATTAAGAGAGGTCATGCAGTATTTTTTTTTCTGTGTCTAGATTATTAATATTTCATTTAGCATAATGTCCTTAGATTGTTTACATATTTTGGCTATTGTGAATAATGCTGCAATGAACATGGAAATACAAATATCTTTTTAATATACTGATTTCATTTCATTCTATTTTTTAATATTTTGAGGAACCTCCTACTGTTTCCCATAATGGCTGTACCAATTTACTTCTCCGCCAACAGTGTGTAAGAATTCCCTTTTCACCGCATTCTCACCAACATTTGTTATCACTTATCTTTTTGATAAAAGCCATTCTAACAAGTGTGAGATGATATGTCCTTCTGGTTTTGATTTACATTTCCTTGATGATTGCTGATATTGAGCACCTTTTCATATACCTGTTGGTCACTTTTATGTCTTCTATGAAAAAATATGTCTATTCAGATCCTTTGCCAATTTTTTTTAATTGAGTTGTTTGTTTTACTAATGAGTTGTGTGAATTCCTTATATATTTTGGACATTAACCTTTTATCAGATACATAGTTTGCAAATATTTTCTCCTAATTCATAGGCTGCCTTTTGATTTTGTTGATTATTTCCTTTACTGTGCAGAAGCTTTTTAGTTTGATACAGTCTCGCTTGTCTATTTTTATTTATTTTTTTATTTTTTTGAGACAGTCTCTCTGTTGACCAGGCTGGAGTGCAGTGCACGATCACAGCTCATTGAGGTCTTGAACTCTAGGGCTCAAGCGATCTTCCTGACTCAGGCTCCAGAGTAGCTAGGACGACTACAGGCATGTACCACCACACGCAGCTGATTTTATTTTTTTATGGAGGCAGGGGTCTCACTATGTTGCCCAAGCTGCTCTTGAACTCCCAGCCTCAAGGAATTCTCCAGTCTTAACCTACCAAAGTGCTGTGATTATAGCTGTGTTGCAACAAGTGTACAGCTAGTGACCGGAGAAAGAACCCAGCTACACACGAAGAGTTGGAGAATAGCCTTTATTCCTCCCCAACAGGCTCGGCACACCTAGTGTTACAGCTCTCTTCCTGCCTTCTGATCTCCTGACCCTTCTGCCCTCCTTCCTTGTTCTCCTCCTACTTTTATACCCTTGGTAGGGCTCAAAAAGCATCCAATCAACTACGAGCTTTAACATCCAATCAACATCAAACTTTAACATCCAATCAACATCAAGCTTTAACATCCAATCAACATCAAGCTTTAACATCCAATCAAAAACAGTGGAATTCAAAAATTACCCAATCAGAATCACGCAAGCAGTGTGGCGGTAATCTAGGTGGCAGCCCACAGGGCCAGGCCCCAGCAGGTGCCCTCTACCTGGCCACACATTGCGGTGGCCCGGGGAGATGCAGAGCCACGGGGAGGCGGCAAGCAGCCATGTCCTGTCGCCCAACATTTTCCTTATCAGCTGTATGGATGTGAGCCACCACTCCCAGCCTCACTTGTTTGTATTTTGCTTTTGTTGTCTAAGCTTTTGGTGAAATACCCACAAAATCATTGCCAAGGCCCATACCAGGAGCTTGCATTCATTTGTTTTCTTCTAGATGTTTTACAATTTCAGGTCTTCCCGGATGCAACCTAGTTAGAAGCCTTACTCATTTTCAGGCAGCAGATGAAAAAATGTGCTGACAAACTCCTTTGAGGAGAAACTTGGAGCTTAGTGTTTTACCCTATTCATTCTGCACAAATTTTGGAGGGATATAGCTGCTAGAAATGCTGATGTGCCTGTTTATTTATTTGTTTGTTTAAATACATTTAAGGAGGTTTTTGTGTTACATAGATGAATTGTACGGTGGTGAAGCCCAGGCTTTTCGTGTACCCATTACCTGAATAGTATACATTATACCGGATAGATAATTTTTAATCCCTCACTCCCCACCTCCTCTTTGTTCTTTGTGGTCTAGGGAGACTCATAAATGCTTAGTCCCTGCTACTCCCAGATATAGGTTATTTATAAGCCAAAACTTCAGGAGGAATTGTAAAAGTTAGGTTGGTATATGCATGGTCCAAATTCTTCATTCCTTGGGAAGAAGCTGGCAGTTCAACACTGCTTCCTGGGGTGGGGTTTGTGTATTGTTGTGTCTCAGCTTTTCTTTCCTGTTTTGATGTGGATACTCTTGTCAAGTTGCTCAGTGTGTAGGAGTCTTTCAGTTTTTTCCTCAGGAGAAACTGATTCATGTGGAGGTGGTTATTCAATGTGTTTGAGAGAAGAGGGAAAGTTGAGAGCCTCCTATCCCACCATCTTGCTGACATCACCACTTGATATTTTAAGAGAAATTTTGATTTAGAATATGAAGATTTAAGGTAAGGAAACTCATCAATGTTACATTCAAAACTCCCTGTTTTACTCTTTTGTATGTGAATTCTAGTCTCTTGGGTATTCTTAAGGATTAAGAAAATAATGTAAGAAAAACAATTTTCCAGATTACACCAATTCAAAGCAAATTGAAAGATAAAATTAAGAAGAAAGCCATGGTCCCTATTATCAGGAAATTTATGGTATAATATTGGCATAACAAATTCGTTGCATTAAATGCAAGTTTCTACTCCAAATGCTATATTAAGAAGGCTTCTAAAACTGAATCCAGAGTCAGGAAAAAAAATGCTTTAATGAATTAGCAATGCCAGCCAAAGATAAGCACAGAAATCTCAAAGATTCTATAACCTCACTACACATTTCTAAAGAGTAGCCACCCAATTCTCTATAATACTACAGCGAGAGAAATAGAATAGACACAGTGGAAAATAGAGGCTTTTCTTCTTATAATAATAGTTGAGCTATTCTAAGTACATCAGCTATTGATAAACATATGTTAACATTTACCTATTCATTCTGTTGGAGAAAACTGGATAACTCTTAAGTGTTTTGCCCTCCAGGCTTACATTAAAAGTTAATTACCACCACATGGGACAGGCCTCAGGAGGCCATGACAGCACTGAACTAGTATCAGCAAAATGTGCATCTCATATGAGCCTCTGAATTGCTCACCTCTCATAATAGAATACTTTCTTCTTGAGTGAGTGTTTACAAGTTAAAAACCACATCACTTTCTGTGTGGGTAGTAAGTTGAAGAAGGACAACTTCTAGATGAAGAAAAATAAAATTAGAACCCCGTGTTAAGGACAAGGGTCATGAGAGATCTGGCCTCAGATATAAATGTAGGGTGCTAATTAGCTATATCCTATAACCCAAAATTTATTCTCATTCTCATTCCTCTTTCTTCCAAATATCTTCATCTTGTCTTTCTGTGGAAAGCTGCAGGGCTATAATATGATCTAATAGTAGCTAGCAAGAACACAGAGATTCAACAAAGTGTGTTTTAATAGGCCCTGAATCACTCTTGCTCCTCCCTCTTTTACTGGCCGGCCAAAGAACCTTGATTTTTTTCCTATCGAATATTTCTCAATTCATTAAATAGAAGCAGATGTGCATGAACCAATGATGAGAGTATGTCAATCCTAGTCTATGCAACTAAGGTCAAAAATTAAATTAAATTAAATTTAAAACAGAAAAGAAAAAAAAAAGTATGGATTGCTTTAGAGACCACCCAAACCAAACCTCCTATACATATTTATTATACTTCTATGTTGGTCTAATTGATTTATCATATATTTAGATTTCAGGTTATTTTTCATGTGTAAAATGTTTTCCCAATTTGACTACAAGTCCCTTAAGGGCAGGGATTTTTCTTTACAGTTCTATGGTAGCATGCAGTACAGTACCTTATATCTGGGATATTGTGGAGAATGTTAACATCCTACCATCCCTACAGACTCACTTGTTAGTCTGGTATTATTGCCTTCTTCCTATAGGTCAGAGGTCAAAAATAAATACTGGCATGCATCTATAAAAGGTTACCTTTGCTTTTAAATTAAAAAGATGTCTACCTATCTTGAAAATATTAGTTAACAACTTTCAGCTAGTGAAGATAGATAGTTTTTACAGACTGAAGTTTATACTATGATGCAAAGCAACCTGAATTTATGTGCTCATGCACAGATGAAGCAGCATAATATGATGGGTTTGAATAATTAAGGAGAATAGGATCTCATTACAATCATTTCCACCCTGTGAAAATATGTAATTTCTGTATCTTTGTTTTCATTTTGAATTTGCTCAAACCTTTACTAGCGTGTCATAGTTAATGACTGCATTTATTCAGCCATAGTTGTTAAGATTATACAAATTTACACATGCTTAAATATTTTTTGTGTTAAATTTTATGTGACTTCGAGCCGGGGACCACACCTATTTAATTCACAAAATTCATTATCAAGTACATGAAGAGTCTTGATAAATGCTTTTTAGTAAAGAAAGAGCAGGATGCTGCTATCACCCAGAATGAGAGAGGGGACAATTAAGGCATTTCAAAAGGAGATATTAAATGGTGGAGAAAGATAGCAAGGATGCTATACATGCAGGGGAATAAAAAGAGATATAAGGAAACAAAGAGGATAAGAAAATAACTCACACAAGGAATTGAATTGGACCAGTAAAACATCTGAAAATCTACTACTTGCATCAATGTCAAAAAATTCGAAGTGAACAGGTGATCTGAGCATGCTGCTGACATCCATCTTCGTACCTTCTTGGTCTCTAAAATACTTCTTTAGCTTCCTTGAACAAAGACACCACGGTGGGCTACACAAGGTGCAGAAAAGGAAAGGGAAGCTGTTCCTTCTCCTCTGCATGCATTAGTCATTTTCTTCCTCTGAGTCTGTGTCTTAATTGCCTTGCCTGTCTTATTAGATTGAAAACCCACTGGGTTGGGACCATCACTGCTCAGGTGTGTAGCACTGAGCTTGGCAGGTGATCAGCACTCAATAAATGTCTATTGCTACCATAAACCAATGTGTAAATCTCAGAAATAGGCATAATAATGGACCTGACAGATTAATGCCCAGGGCTATTTTTGTACAGCAGCATGGGCTAGCCAAATCAAAATCAGACACCTCAGATTCAATTCTTCTCAGTTTTGCATGTAATTCTCAGCCTTTCACATTTTTGTCCTGTGACAGACAGGAAGAAATGATAGTCAACTTTTCAATATAATCAAATTAAAAAGTGCTCCCCTCCCCCCTTTTTGGTCCCCTTTCAAAACCTATCGACCCATTATGTAGATGGCATTGCTTTTTTTATTATTGATAGGATGGTTTCAAATGCCACAGCAGATGTTTTATATGGTATTTATACTCAACATTTCAAATTCTCTTCTTTGTGGGGGATTTTCTCTGGGAGCAAGAAACTACTTAAAGAAACCATTTAATTTGTACTCTAATGAGTCCTCTGAGGTGACTAAGGCAGAGTTATTATCAGTGATTCTCTCTGGAAAACAAAATTAACATGTGGAGAAATGAATGACTTAAGCAGGACTCCTCCCCCCACCCCCCTCTCCCGCCCCCAAGCCAGAGGAGAGATGGTAAAACACTGGGTGTAATTCTCCTGAAATAAGAGATCTTCACAGAAAGAAAAAAACTGGTTTGTGGGGATTATTGAAGCTTTTTGAGGTCATAATAAAATCCAATATGCCTCCAATTCTATTTTTCCTTATGTGAAATGTCACCTTTGTCTACCTATGAGATAAGATTATTTCCCCATCTTTACAAAACTCCGCTATGGTTACAAGCAGCCACTAGTTTCCCTTTTTTGTTAGATATTCTTGTTTTTTCTTTTTCCTTGCCAGTGTGTGAAAAGGCACCCATATTAGATTATGCAAATACATGATATGGTCATTGAAATTATTTGAAAGTTGCAATAAATTATTTAATCAACCTAAATTCTTTCTGTTATAGGGGATTATAGGTAAAAAAAAAATCAATCTGTTTTCAGATCTAATCTTTTTGGGAAATGAATACAAGGACAAAGACAGAGCTAGCCCTGTGACTGACCAGGATTAATGAAAGAAAACTGGGGTTCAAGAGCATGGACTGAATGCAAAATTTGATCCTATACCAGATATAAAAGGAAGAGTCTAAGGTTCAAATGTATACTACATTATTTAAGAAGTATAAAAGAGGCAATTATTTATACAATTTAAAGATAGAAATACCTTTGTCTCTATTATTAAGATATTCCAGATGGCCCCAGAATATTTCCAGCAAATATATTGCTCATATAGAACTGTCCACTAGGTGCTTGAAACTCTTGTGTAGGATAACTAAGGCAAGGAAAATATTGTCATGTAAATATTACCTTACAAAATATATTTCTTCATGAAAGTAAGTATAAATAAAATTTCAATTAATCTGTTAATTCTTCAAAAATATTTTAGAATGCTTATAGTGGATCAGGCAGTTAACTAGGCACTATGTTATTTTTCTTTATTCTTGATAACCTCTCCCCTGAAAAATAGATTTATGGATGCATCAATAGACATGGACAATAAATAAGGTCTATAAAGGAAATGAGATATTTCCTCACTGTGTAAGATATCCACACAGTGAAAAAAAAAAAAAAAAAAGAAAAAAAAAGAAACGTATCCCAAAAGATTATTTAGTTTATGAGCTCAGAGAATGGTGGTACCATTAAAAGAAATGACAAAGTTAGGAGAATAAATAACTTATGAAGGGGCACTTGATAAGTTCAGTTTTGAATATGTTGAATACGAGACCATCACAGAACACTCAGCTGGGATTGCCAGTCAGTGCAGAGGACAGGATCAGAATTGAAGGGGAAAATTAGGCTTGTATGTCCAAATTCAGTCATCATCTACCAATATGTTATCTTATTTCAATGCTTATTAATTTTGCCTTTTCTATTTAAATGACCGTAGAAGATAAAAATAAAATTCAAAGTGCTCAGCATACCTGGAGGAAGGAAGAAATGAGTATTCCTTCTAGAGGAAAAATGGAAAGTTTCTCTGTAAAGTAGTTGATTAATTGTCATCCCATTCGTTTCTCAGATCTGAAGTATTATTCCTCCAGGTTAGAGCAGGGGGACTATGAGGAAAATTAGAGAAACCTCTGCTTTCTCTGAAATTATATTTATTTTGTAATCATTCTGAAGTTAGGAAAAAGAATAATAAAAGGTTTTGGTTTGCTAAATGTGGTAGTTGACATAAGAAAAACCAAACCAAACCAAACAATCCTGCAAAATATTTAAAGCATGATGCTACTCTAATTTCAGCATCTTCTTTCACTGGCTCTTACTAATTTTTGTCATAAATAGCCTATTATGAGAGACATGGATATCTACTGAAATGTTGCCCATGTATTTTACTTGTGTTTTGTACATTCAGATTTTTTATTTGTTCAGTTTGGTTATAGAAGCATCAGTCTACCCACAGGGCTCTCTCTCTACAGAG